CAGATTATCATAAAACGTTTTCTTTATTGGATCATGGAAACACATCCACGTTTTTAATTTGCGATATGGCTATAAATGTATTTATAAATCCAATATTTTGACTCACAAAAACAGTGGGATATTTAACTACAACACAACAAACACAGTTAGCGTGGATCAAAGCTTATACATTTGTTTATTATATAATGAAGTGAAGGTAACTTGGAGAAACATGCTTCAACATGACACACTGCCAGCGCTTCCATCAAGGGAAGGGGGTGGGATAAAGACTTAAAACATCTGGATCATGCACTCTCTGGACTTTCCAACGCCAACCCACTTGACTAAGAAGAGAGAAAAGAGCACAAAGAGTTTTGGTTATGTGTGAGAAAATTTATATTGAGATACACGAGTGTTATTTTCTCTCACACGTACTAGGAACTCCAATGTGGTTCTCAATGAAGCGGATGTAGTTTTGTGCCTTGACTGGGAGATCATTCCACTTCCTAGCTGCTGAAGTGTCTGTCTTCCAACCTGGGAAGGTCTCATATTCAACCTCCACTTTCTGCAAAACGTCCATGTTGGCTTTGTGTTGAAAAGAAACCAGTTATTACCAACTCTTTAATCAGTCAGTCCTAAACAAAGATCATCAAATGAGGCAAATTGTTTACTATTTTCCACAACCTGGAAAGTGGGGAATCCTCTTCCCGTTGAGTTTGTAGGCAACTCCAACTTTAATTTCATCCAGCACATCCAGAATGTCAAGTTTTGTCAAAGCAATGCTGTTGAATAGATGGCATGTCACATTTAACATGTGCGGTTAATCAGTGTCAGGCTGTGTGACGGTGCAGAAAAATGGCATGCTCGTGGGATAAAACACAAAAACCACAAAGCAGCAGATGAGCACCAGTCCTAATCACTCACGCAGTGAAACCATTAATCATGTGAGCATATCTGACGATGACCAGATCCAGCCAGCCGCAACGTCGCTTCCTTCCCGTGGTCACACCCACTTCGTGACCCCTGGTCTGCAGCAGCTCTCCTATTGCCTACAAAAATAAGCAAGAAATAAACATCTCTGCCTGTTATAATCCTAAAGATCTAAAAATAAATAAATAAATAAAAATACATGCATATTAAGTACACCTGAAGTACACACAGCCAAGTACAATAAAACATCACGAGTTGGAGGATACCCTTTGAACATCTTGACCTTAGTCCCTATGACCTGTTCCCGTTACAGGTAACATTAACCCCAGCACACACAGTAAATATATCCTTAACTAAGAGTCTGACCCTAAATTTATCCCTGCGAACATGTGATCTGGAAAAGAGGTAAAGAGCCGTCTCTCACAAAATTTGACAGCTGCACTCAGTGAGAATACCCCCCCCCCCCCCCCCCACACACACACACACACAGGCCTGCCCACCGTGCTGCCTGTGTGTCAGCTGGGGGATCACAAACAAACTGTATATGTCAAGCTGAATATCTGCGTGTTACATAACATGTCATGTGTCTCTTTTTACAATACGCAGACCGTGAAGGCCAAAAGCCAAACGCGTGACAAGATTTGCCAAGTGCTGCTGCGATACCAGGCACTCACATTGAGCTGTTCGGTGGGGAAGGCTCCAATGCCAACTCTGGTTGTGTAGGCCTTCGCGACGCCAAACACGTCACCAATATTCATCGGAGGGATGCCGAGACCGGTGCATGCTCCTCCCACGGTGCAGTTTGATGATGTCACAAAAGGATATGTTCCTAGAGAGACAATTTTGTATATTACAGCAGCAGTGATTTCTTCCCTTTTCATCACCCAGATCCAAAGTAAAGTGAAAAAAAAAGAAGCAAAACAACAAAACTATTGCTATGGCTCCTACCAAAGTCGATGTCAAGCAGAGCAGCATTGGCCCCTTCAACCAGAATTTTCTTAGGGGGGCCATGAAGAGCTTCGTACATATAATAAACACCGTCTCTAACCATCGGCCGCAATCTCTCAGCGAATTCCTCCATGAAGCAAGAAAACAGAGATATGTCTCAGTGCTGGAAACAATAACAGACAGTCACTCAATAACATCACTCTTATCAGTTTCTACCTTTAGTTTTTTCAGCTGGTCCTCAACGTCAACTGTCAAGGATGGATACATGGAGTGATACTGTTGGACGAGATTCTTGAATCTAAAGAGATTTACCAAAGGTGTTACCCATGACATATCACTGTATACAAATGGGTTTGACTCCTCGGCCTGAGTTTTACACACCATTCCTACCTAGTAGAGAAGTCCTTGAAGTCACCCAGGAGATCACATACGCGTAGACCAGTGCGAGATGCTTTGCTGGAGTATGCAGGTCCAATGCCCTTCTTGGTAGTTCCAATGCTATTACGTAAAACAATGTGTGAGATCAGTGTTGTATTCAATAAATTATCGTGTTGCGTCCTTTGGGAAAGGGTCAGGCTGACTCTGAATGGTGTCCTGCCCTTATCACTATCGCTACCCTTACTTCTTTCCTTCTTGCGCTTGTCTTTCAGTTTCCTGTAAGCCATCAACAACCTGGTGGAAATCGAACACTGTGGAGAGACAGCAAAAACGAACGATAAGATGCAACCTTGAAGAGATGAATTAAATATTATATTATATAAATATATATATTTAAACATGGAAACAAAGAACATCTTCATAGATGTACCGAGGTGAGCTCTGTCTGAGACAACGAGTCTCTTCTCCCAGCCTTTCAGACCTGGTCAGAGAGTAGAAATCACATTAACATGATTACATGCTAATTTGAGTCCACACTAGTTTCATTTCTGCTAAAAATACCTTTCTTGTCATTTTTATCCCCTTCTTCAAACAAACCAGGTAGATGTATAACTACTCCATTACCTAGAAGATCAAGGGAAAAAGCCAGTGAGGGTAAATATTTGAATAATAGTGCATCTCTGTAAATAATAGAAATTGAAGCCTTTACCAATAAGAGATATGCTTTTGGTGTTAATGATCCCACTGGGAAGAAGGTGGAAGTCGTACTCCTTCCCATCCACTACCACTGTGTGTCCTGCATTATTCCCGCCCTATGGATCAAATAATGTTTATTATTAATAATTATAGTAACTGGCAATGAGCAGGACATACAATCAAACACCCAAGGCCACCTCATCATTTTTAGCCACACTGACATGCCCCGTCTGATTTTTATGATGAGTGATAAGCGCCCTCTTTCCTCAGCTTTTCGAGCATCTATTTTAACTAACAGACTTGGCTGTTGCTGGTGGATCCTCCACTCTGTTCCCCCCTGGATAAGACCTGGCCTTCTCATGTATCATGTCAGCCTGAGAATGTGACCCCTGGAGCCCGGTGGGTTGGGCTCTCAAGCCTTCAGAACACAGGGTGCTAGTCCTGTCAGTAGTACAACACTACAGGCTGTTGACAGCCTTCTCCGTGCCTGCTGGAGCTGAAGAGACCTCTTGACCGTTATGTGTCTTATGCAAGGCCGGGTCACAGACTGACCTGTCTGGACCTGTTTTTATTGATGATTTAATGCAATCAGAAAGAGTCAGTCAGAGGAAATTTACCCGAGGTGTTAAGTCGATTACAAGCATTAAAATAGTCAGGGTTTTGAAAAAGTGCACTTATTCATGATGCCTGACAGTATTTAAGACATTCGTTTTGAGCTGTCACAGCTGCCTATTGCATATTTTAAATTCGTCACAAATATAAACACGTCGCTTTACTGTAGTGGGGAGAAATATCCACAGCTACACTCGCGTTAAATATACCGGGGCTCGGAGGTGCGAGTGTTTTCGCTTTCGCACCTGTTGCACATTACCAGGCGCCAGCAAGTCACAGAATTTATCGTGAGATCACGAATTCATGCAAAAATACTCAGCAGCACCACTCACAGTCCTCATCAAATCCACACGTTTACCTGACATCTGCAGACAATGTCAGCTTCGGTAGCCAGTAAATCCACGACCTTCCCTTTCCCCTCATCTCCCCATTGCGCACCGAGCACCACGGTCACTTTGTTCCCCGCGTCATTACGCGGTCGCTTCTGCCCGGTGGCAGCGGGTTGATTTGCGTTTTTTTGGTCTTTCCCCGACCAGCTGAGCGACATGATGGTGTTGCCTTGAGCCTGTCCGCCTCAAGAAGACCCAACTGTCTCCAAGAGCAGCATTGCCATATGTGTAACCGCATATCCGATGATGTCAGAGCCAGACGCACAGAAGTACGTAGCTGTGCTCAAACAAATCACCTCCAAAGCTGCTGAAGCACCGAGATAACCGTTTTTACACAACCGTCACGAAGGTGGAATTGCTTAAACATTACTTTTCGAGGCTTTTCTAACGGATTCAGATCGCCTCAATACCGCCATCTATGCGAATCAGACGATCAAAAACAGAACAGACGAACAGTATCTTCAATTTTATTAAAATATACCCAACATTAAAAGTTACAGTCCATTCTCGCTCTCCTTTATACATATATATCCTGTCGCAGATCATTTGATTAACAAAGAAATTAAGACATAAGATTTGTATTATTTTATAATTGATTAAATTCAATATCTCAAACCAAACACTGCATCTTTTTATGGGTGCTGCAAATATAAACAAGGCTTATAGCAAAAACACATTCACTGCATATTACAACAATTATACAAACAAAGAACATTTAGCTTTTTTTTCTCCCCCTCAAAATAGTTCTCATAAACACAAAAACCCTCCAGTTTACATAAAGTGACTTGGTAACGTGAAAACTAAGAGGACTAAGGGTGGTAGAGCTTTTGCCACTGTGGCCCCGAGACTGTGGAACTCTCTCCCCCAAACATTAAGAACTGTGGACTCAGTCGCTGCTGTTTTTAAAAAACTCAAAACTCACCTTTTTAAAACTGCTTTTGGTTAATTTTTTGCCCGTTTTATTTTCTCTTTTTAAATCTTTTTATGACTTGTAATCTTATGTGCAGCACTTTGTGATTCTGTCTTGAAAGGTGCTATATAAATAAACATTTATTTATTTATTTATTGAAGAAAAAAAAAAATCCCAGCCTCAGATGTGGTCGCTCTTCTTGGTCAGGATGAGGCTTCACAGAAGACTTCCACATCCTCCAATCAACATTATGGAATCCCAATGAAATAAACTGTTCTGAACTCCTGCTCGGAAGTCAGCATTTCCTTTTCCCTCTCGATTTTCTTTTTCTGGAGACACCTAGAGAGAACAAATGCTAAAATCAATAGTGCAAATGAAAGAGTGTACTTTAATACCTTTCACAGTTATTTCTGTAAGCGACACTGCCGGCTCAAAGGCCCTTGGCAGAGAGGCGCTTTGCTTGCAAACACTATTATTGGCTTAAAGACGCCCAGAGTTTCAGTTATAAAATGTATTAAAAAAAAAATTCTATCATGTACAGTATGTTTAATTAAAGTTCAATTAACAAAACAGTTTACAAGAAGCACACGAGACTGTTAGCAGGTTAAATCGTTGCAGATTCAGAGAATGGACAAGAATATATGGAGGAAGAAGAAGAGGACACAAAAGTGACAGCTTTCATGAAATAACTGTCCACAATCACAGAGACTCCACAAACGGCAAGGCTGTTTGAGATCAGAAAACTTAATGTTGATAGATTAACCACTGATTAAAGATGTTATTATTGCACAAGACAGCACTTTTATTTTGCCCCCCCCCGGCTCAAGTTTAACAGATATCACAAACCCCAAGAGTTTAGCCTGACAACCAGCTAAACTGGGAGAGCGTTAAGAGAGACGGCCGTGTGTTAAAAGTCGGACAACACAGACAAATGAGATCCAGATTCCGGTTAGACCAACAGATGACGTGTTATTTGGAACAAAAGCTCTGACGATGATTGAGTTAATTTCCGGCTTACGGTTTGCCATCCCATCGACTTGACCTACCTCACTGCAACACACAGCCTGTTTTATGTTTAGTGTGTCCTTTCCCACTGTTACCTTGTGTTTCAGAACGGAAAACAGAACATTCAAACAAAAAGGGACCACAGGTTTTAAAAAAATCCATTCAGTATTCAATCTTCAAGACAAATGCTGCACACTGCATTCATGCTGTTTAATTTAAAAGATATGTATTCATGTAAAAATATTTATACACATATAGTAAAATAGCCCATACATAAGATAGAAAATATTAAATGGAATAAAAACAACACTAACAGAGGATTCCCTTTAAGAAACGTCAAGACACTAGCATTCCAGAGATGGCCTTTATTGAAGTGAATGGATAGGTTACCTTGATTACTCTTCTTTTTGTTTCGTTTAAAGAGCTTCATCTGTTTCTTTGGGTCTGGCTTAAGGGCTTCAGACACAGATGCCAGATCTTCTGGTTCCAGTGCATCTGGGACGTCGCATTGCATGATGCCTTCATCGAGCGTAATCAGGCTCTTTTTGGGGTCTGCAAGTTTGCAACTATCGACCTCGTCTTGGCCAGATGTTTTCGCCCTTGTGTTCGCGGTCTCCTCGTGCCACTGCTCTTGCCCTACAGTCTCTGGTAAATGGCTTGGTTTATTAGTAGTTTCTCCTTTCCCCTCTCCCATAATATCGCTTTCCATGCTCTGCTTCGTGTCCGTACTTGGAATTTCTTTGACATGAACGTTTACGCTAAGATCCGTTGGCTGCTCGGGGGCCGGGCTGGGTGTGTTGTCAAACGTAGCCTCCAGCAGGTCAGAGTCTGAGAGGGATGAAGGACTGATGACGCTGGTCTCTGCTGAATCTAATGAAAAGCCATTTGTGGGGAGGCATGGTTGGTGGTCCCCTTTAACCTGAGACTGAGCTTGAGTCACATCTATGGGTGATGCTGCATCTTTCTCTGGCTGCAGAGATGTAGGTCTTCCCAGGAGTGCCGCTGGAGCCGTCTTTCCTGGGAGTGTGCTTGGAGGTGCGGCTGTGCCGTCGTGCACTGCATTCAGCTGAGGAGCCGGCAGAGTCTCTTCTGACGGGCTTATAAAGCCGTTCACCTCGCCCGTGCTGTTGTGGCGACCCTCTGTCCGAGACGCGGTAGGAGCGGAAATGGTGGCCATGTCGACGGCTTCTTCGCCTACAGACTTCGCACTTGATCCTGGGAGACAGAACAGCCGATCAGTTAACAGAATTAACATCTGAAGTTAGGTGATGTTCTGCAGCGAGCAACGAGACAGGACGACAAGAGGCTCTCAATAAAAAGAAACGCTCACGTGGGCTCCACAAAGCAAAAAACAAAAACAAAAAGCAATGGAGCTAACTTAGCGAGACGGGAGGCGGTGCAGAAGCACAAATAATCCAACAAGGCAGTTTTGTGGCTCGCGGTTAAGCGGATCAGGAGCGGAGCTAGGAACTGCGGATGGAGACCACGGCCTCGTATCCTTACCAGGTGGGCAGGTATCCCTACGCATTTCACTAGAAGGGAGGCTTTCCGAATCGCACCTTGGCCGGGTCTTTCTGAGGCTGAAACCTTTTCTGATGTCCGCCAGGAGGTTTTCTATGATGCAGCCATCGTTCTGCGGCACAAAACCTTTCTTGACTGAAAAGAAGGGCACAAAGAGGACATGGGAAACACGATATACACATCACATCTTGTTCAGAATTTTCTAGTACAGTAGAAGAACACAGCGCTCTTCACAACTTACTTATTTTCCCATTCTCTCCTTTCTGTCTCTTGGACTCTTCCTCTGCCAGCTGCTTCTTTCTCTTCTCAGCCTTGGCCGCCTGTTCTTTCCGAGTTTTGTTTTCCTGTTATCATTAAGGAAGGATTTCACTATCTCGCAAGTACAAAATGTACATAGCAGTTTGTCTTTGTGTCATTTGGGCCGTAGCATATTAACATGTCTTCGTTTTCCACAGTTTATTGATACAAATGTTACAAACAAAACACTACCTCCCACACACAAGAGGAAGATTTAACAGTGCTGCGTGTTCTCACACACACACACACACACACACGACAGCAGAACAAGCAAATCTACAATCTTAAGATTGTCTCATAATGCTTGACATCAACCAAAGCGGCCTCTCTGACCTTAAGCGCCTTGATGAAGAGTCCTCGGAAAGTCCTGATGGTACCGAAGAGTTCCTCCAGTGACAGCTGATTGGCATCTTCACATAAATAAACAGCCAGTTCACCCTTTTTCGTCTCAATCTCGGCGAATCTCTCATTTAATTCTCCGAACAACTCCAGATTTGCCTGCAGCAGAGAGAGAGAAGCATTTGGGACGTGGATCCAGCTGCCAAGAAAACAGTGCCAAGTTATGCAGTTTTGCATCCATTTGGAGAAAAAGCAAAGATTGACGTTTTACCTCGAGAACTTTTGCATACTGCTCCTTCACCTCCTCCGCAGAGTTGGAGACTTTCTTGGCTGTCTCATTCAGCCGTTTGAGTAACGCACTGGCTTCTGACTGAACAGAGTCCAGGTTAACTCTGAGGGGGAAGGGTGACAAGCGCCAAGTGTTAGAAATCTTTGACAAAATAGTTGAAGAAAAAAAATGTAAGAGTTTAAGTTTGCATGAAAGATTTCCATACCCTGCTGCCTTTTCACATATGGCTATTTCATCCGGTAGAGCCAACAGTTCTGGGTGGTTTGCCTCTGCTTCCTTTGCAAAACAAGCCATGCAATAGGTGATTAAACAATTTCATGACTGAGGAAGGAAAAAAACAAAACAAAACCAAAAGACATTGCATTGGTAGCTGCTGGCCGGTTTGCGTACCTCCAGGATGTGATGAAGCAGCGTAATGCGGCTCTTGTTGGCCTTGGTTTCTGTGAGCTTGAGCAGAGAGCTAATCTTGAACCCCTCGGCGTTCCCAGTGTGACTTCCCTGAAAGTAGACCAGTGATTAAAAATGCAAACTCGGTCTAAATGTCAGCTCAACTGACGGAGAAATGAGAAAGCGATGAGGTTCTTACATAGTTGAGAAAATTTCCCACGTCGAGGATGAGCCTGCAAAAACTGGGCATGAGCGTGCTCGTTCTAAGAGCTGGGAAACCAGTGACATTGTGTTAACATATAAGACACATTTTAAGCTAGCCAATTTAAAAAAAAAGTTCACCCTTAATCAAATTTCCTTATTTTTCCACAATCAGGCCTGTTGTGCTATTTTTTTATAAATGATGTCCCAGTTATTTAGCAAATAGACAAGCTTTGTTGTGCCGTTTTGTGCAGGAACTTTTTTCTTGCTTAAGTGAATGCATCGTCATCACTGAACAGAAGGAAGCCCACATCCACCCCCCACGTGAGGCATGCGCCTGTGACAGATAACAGGACGTAATCATTAATGAGACTCCTCTCACCTGGGCTGTAATGCCATCTACTCTCATTAAGCTGGTGGATATATTCATCCATCTACTCAATTTCCTTCCTCCCTAAACCACCGCCTTATCCTCTTCCTGAGGCACTCCCAAGCCAGCTGAGACGCATAATGTCTCCAGTGTGTCCCTGGCTTTCTCCCTGTTGGATATGCCCAAAACGTCTTCACCTAGGAGGCGACCGGATGGCATCTGTGTTTGGGATGGCACCCACTCACCTCAGCTGGCTGTGGAGGAGTGAACGCGGATGACTACGTTCCTCACCTGTACAAACAGTGCTCAGTCATGACAACATGATGTGGATGGACTAATCAAGCTGACAGCTTCGCCTTCACACTCAGCTCTTTCTTCACCATACCAGACTAACACACTGCCCGCATCACCGCATATCGTGCAGCAAATCCATTTGCCAATGCTCCACTCCTCCACTCACGAACTAAACCTGTAAATACGTGAACTCCTCCACATGAGACGATAGCTCAGCTCCACCCTTTTCCTGGCGGAGGATGGTGGGCTTCGCTCTGTCTCACTTGGCTTCAAGCCACCTCGGAGATGGATGCGGTGGCTAGAAGTGCTCAATAAAACACACATTGTGCAAAAAGCCAGCATGATTCGGAGAATGCAGAGCCAGACACCCTTCCAGGTGTAGATGGCTCGGTAAAGAGAGAAAATAGTTCCCACACAAAACTGCTCAAAATAAGAATTATGGATTTTTTTGAGTAGCTGTGTCATGATTTCTGGAAAGAGACGTTGCAGTTGCACAAATCCAACATTTTCTGCTTTGAATATCCTCAAGGCAAGTGCCATGTGCTTTCATTGGAGTCAAGAGTTCCACAGATACACTGATGAAAAGCCAGAAAATAGATTTTAAGGTGAACCCCCCCCTCCCCCTTAAGAATTATAGATGAATGCATGCGAACACAGGTGAGGGACTAAGGTTTACTTACAGTGGCAGGCCTCCTCCACAAGCTTGACTTTAGGTTTGAGCATCTCCAACACTGATGCAGTTTCCTCGCACAAAAGCATGCACTCAATCCTCAACTGATAACTGAAGAGAAGAGCGAGAAGAGAAGAAGTCATGCACACGGCAGCCACGTAAGCAACACTTAAAGCAGAAATTAACTTTAAAAAAAAGGGGGGGTTACCACGGCACAGTAAGGAGAGAGGTGTAGAAGCGATCGACATTTCCCAGCTTGTCTTTCTCTCCCTGGAAGGACTTCAGATTCTCCATCTACGTGAAAACAAAACGCCGACTCAGACAAAGCACCATCATTCTTAAGCAGGGCCTTAATTGGCAGATAAAAACACTCGAGGTAAGGATGTTGGCAGCACAAACCTCATGCTTCTCTGGCAGGAGCTTAAGAAGCTGTTTTAGCACCTCCACGTCAAACCGAGTCCGATCACCACTCTGGATCATGCCCACAAACTCCTCATTTGTGCTGGACGGAGAGAACATAAAAAGTAGAAATGAGGGAACGCGAGCAAAACGCAGCAAATCACAAAAATGTGTTTGATATCTCACCATTTGAACTGCTTGAGGAATATATTCACGTTCAAGCTTTTCTTTGGGTCGATGAACGTGATCTAGAAAAGGTGGGTGGAGAAGGGGGGGTGTAAGAGAACAAAAACAGGATTACTGATTGTTCGCCTCTGCTTATTAGCAGCGTTTTTCTGAGTGTTTCTGCTCCGAGGAGCACCGTCGAGAGCTGACCAAGCACACCTCTTTAGGCTCCTTCTTGACAGGAGCAGCTGCCCCCTTGTCTTTGTGTTCGGCCACCGGGAGGCAGAACAGCTGCTCGATGCTGCTGTAGTCGGGCTCGTGAGGAGGCGGCTCTTTCTGAACCGAGGCCCACATGGAGTGACCATCTGTGTGCACGAAGGAAAAGAGAGTAACCCGTCATGAGCTTGTGCGGCTCCACTTTCGTACGGACATTGTGCCAAGTGATCATCTCTCTCCTTCCAGAAACTTGAGGGAAGCCTTCGACACCCACATTAATTAACACCCAATTTTGGATGGTTTAACAACTCAGAGCGCTATTCATGTCAGCGCTCGACTCCCATCAACTGTTCACTACACAGATGGCAGCAGCCAGTGCCTTTGCTTAAATTCCTCACAATTATTGCTATTTAAAAATGTGGGACCTATACTGTATTAGCTGATAATACAGATTTATGCAAAAGAAATTAGTATGAGATTTGACAGTTATTAAAATTAAAATAAAACAATTAAAAAAACGGAGGTTTTATCCACTTACCAGTAACAGTGCGAAGTTTCTGCCAGTTGAGCTTCTTCATCCTCAGAGTGGGACAGCGGCTCGTCTTTGACGGCGCGCTGCAGCCCAGGGCCTGGCTACTCTGGGCCACAATCATGCCAGGTGGAGGCGGAGGCGGAGGTGGCATGCCGGGTAAAGGTGGAGGCGGTGGTGGCCCACCACCCATCCCTGGTAAGGGCGGTGGAGGAGGGGGGACCCCTGGTCCAAAGGGCAGAGGAGGTGGTGGTGGTGGGGGAGCCATTCCAGGCAATGGAGGAGGTGGTGGAGGACCAGTAAACCCTCCAGGTAGCGGTGGAGGTGGTGGCGGCGGCGGTGGTGGTGGTGGCGGGCACTGGTTAGAGGGGGGTAGAGGGGGTGGTGGGGGTGGAGGTGGAACAGAGGCACACAGTGGCCTTTTAGGGGACGGTGTGCTTTTGTTTGGCTTGTCCGTGTACGGGTGATCCAGCTCCGTCTGCACAGCCTTGTCCACTTTGAGCCGCAGTCCGTCCACCTCGTGCCGATCGTCGCAGCTTTTCCTTTTAAAAAACATCAGCCGCTGCATGATCTTCTCACAGGACTCCATCTGAGCTGCAGCACAAAACCAGAAAACACACACACGATGTGAATTAGCTTCCCACTCTACAACAGAAGCTTTCAGCCATCCTAACACAGACTCCCTGCCTTTCATCTCAAGGCGATCTATATGCCTGAATAATCACTCGTCTTCACCGTGTGGCCACTAAGCAGCCATTAGCCTCTTTTAAAGTGTTGATCTGGAGCGAATGCATTGTTGCTGCTGTGCTGACTCACCGTCCTGGGCGAGCAGTATGGCTCTGTTAGTGATGGCCTCCAGAGCCAGCCAGATGTCAGGGCGCCCTGGTCCCAGCACCAGCAACGTCTGCAGGATGGACAGCAGCTGGAGAGAGGCTGGGGAGCTGCTCACCTGCACACAAACACCCACAAGAACATTAAGCTTGATAATTTGCGGATTCTTTTAAAATTTATGCACAAGAATAATAAAGTATTTTAATCTGTAGCTTATTAAAAGATCCCTCTCTTTACTGTGAGACTTCTGAGAGAAAAGCCGCATTCATGCAGTGTTCTGCTTGATGGACTATATTTTTTATTAGGAGTTGACAGAGCCATTTCAATAGGCTTTTCTCACCTTGTTAAAAAGTGTAGTAAAAACCTCCAGGTGATTACTCATATCAATGCCCCCATACACTCGCAGGAGCTCTTCCTCATCTTCAGCCATCGCCTCTTCAAAAGCTTCGCACTGAATAATCAAGTCTTCATCCTCCTGCTCCCTGCAAACGCACACACACGTATTACAGTCACAGCTCGGTTCATAGTTTTAGTTCAGTCCCATCTTCAGTGTTTTTTCCTTAAAAAGTTCTGACGAGGACCTTTGATCCAATTTATGCCATTAATGGAAACACATCACAAAACTATTTTTCTAAAAGCACCATTTCACTTGCGGTGATTATAGCTTTTAAAAAGGAACCTTTAAAAATGTACCTCAGCGACTTTATTGCGGAAATTAAGAGGCTGAAAAAAAGAATCAAATGTGAACACCAGAAGGATGGCTCACCTCAGCTTTGGCAGAACATCAAGTAACTGAAGCCCTGCAAGCAAAATAACACAAAATGACACAGCACCGAGTAAAACAACAAGAAATCAGCAGCTTTTCATGAAATGTCTTACAAACAGCGTCGCCTGCTTCCACACAGGACTATATGTTAGTTTGGGGGGGAAATTCCAGGAAGTCACAGGTGAACAATCAGAAAGGAGGCGTGGCCAGTCAGGTGGTTGATTGGTCCAAACCAATTGGACCAATCAGGTGGCTGATTGGTCCAAAACTAATATGCTGGTGGAGAGATGCTATGGGATATTTCTCAAACCATCATGAATGTGGTGCTCTTCAGGAAGCTTAGTGGTTAACACTTGTTCCTCATTTAAAATAACTGTTAACTCTGGCTTAGTCAAAGGTTAAACCAGTGTTTGCACAGAATATACACTGGTGGCCCTAAGAGGAAACAGCCTACTCTGCATTCAAGGTTTAATGCTGCCCAATTATTCTAAGAGTGGTGATATTTTCATTTCTGCTGATTTGTGGTGCAAAATGAATGAATTACACCATCTAATAAAGGCTTGAGTTTTTCTTTGTTTTTTTAATTCTCAGGCATTTTGTAAAAGTGAGAATGAGGCCAGGAGACCTATTCTTAGTCAGACCCAGTGACAGATATATTCGTAAGAGCGCTCCTGCCCATGGCCTGCTTTCCCCCTTTGTATTCACTTGGAGCTAACAGTTTACCCACAGCGTCACCTTTTCCTATAACGGGACGGTAAAGGGATTAACTGTTGAGGAGCAGCCAAACCTACCGATGAACTCCTTTCTCATCCTATCCCGCTGCCTGAGGTCCTCTGTCCCGAAGATGAGAGCGTTGATGACACTGAGGAGCGTGACCATGTAAGGGACGTTATCTGTGGCCTGGAGCTCGTTCATAATCACGCTGAAGCGATACTGCTGCGTCTTTACGCCCTGGAGGAGAAACCACATTTGAGATGTGAGAGGAAAGTCAGAATGGAGCTCTGCTAACTTTTCGACAGGTTTAATCCGCTTGCCTTGTAATGGTCCAGGGCGTCAAGTGCCAGCCGATGACCGTCCAGAGAGAACATGCTGAGGGCTGCAAGAAGCTCAAACACCTGCTTCTTCACCATGGTGTTGGAGGTGTCCAACGCTGTGTAGCATAATGATTGCACACATCAGCAAAGGATGAATTCTCCTATTTCTCCCATCAGTTTTCCTTAAAATAATTCCCCCGTGTCTACTCTTTCCGCTTTGTGTCCAGACCTAAAATAAAAGGATTGTTTTGCCGTCTTTGAGGCAACACTACTTGAACTTTGCCCTCTAAAGATCTGTTGCTGTACTGTAGATAAATATGTGTCTGTAGGTGGGGAAATCCAATATTCACTGCGCACTGCCACATTACAAATTCAGGGATGTCCCGAAGCGACCCTTAGTGACTCATATCTGCATGTTAAAGCTGAGGACATGACTGGAAAATTCAGCTTGACAGAATGAGTCACAGAGAACCCCTTAATCATGTGAGCTATGACCACTTTAACACAATATTACAAATGTTACATAAAACACGAAAAAAAAGGGTCAAATCTCCTGCCATTAAAGAGGAGACGGCTTTATTTGAAATAACTTTTAACAATGAAATATCTGGAACGTTTATTTTCACGTGAGACTGAGCAGAGGCATCAACACAACACTGGGAAAGCGCATTTGTGGTCAACCTTGGGAGAGCTTCCGAATGTATCCCTCGTTTTCTATGATGAAGTGAATCCCCGCCGCCGAGTTCATCACAGCTCGGACGCAGCTGACGCAGGTGAGCTGCAGGAGAGCATCTGCAATGCGAGAGCATCCGCGCCCAGAGAGACGGTCCAGGGCCTCCAGGAGGAGATCCAGCCCGCTTAACTCCAGGAACTGCACCATCCATGTCTGATCGCTGCCTTCCAGGCGGCGCTTCAGCCCAGAGTAGTTGACGACAGTGGGGACTTGGAGCAGTCTGATGCACAGCTCTGGATCAGAATTCTCCAGGTTGGCTTCCTGCTGAGTGTCAGAATCCTGCGAGGAACCCAGGCGATCCCTGACCGCCGCCCACTTCTTTTTCCCATCTGATTTTCCAGACATTGCTGCTGTATAAACTGCAGGTGGGGAGAAAAAAAAAGAGAAAACAAAACATTTACAGTTCTGCAAGTGCTGTACAGATGAAGCGAAACAGCTCTCAGGAAATTCTGCAAGTTGCTAGCGTGCAGATACCGCCTGCCTGCTTGCGCCGACATGCCGTAATCTTGTGTGGCAGAGGGCTATCATTGTTATCCAAACCACAGAAAACAGGCTAAAACTATTCTTTATCAAAAGCAGAATGAAAAAGGACAGCTTTGCACTTTATAAACGAGTAAAAGATACGTCAGAGGCCATCACCAGCTCTGCCAAACATTCCATCTTAATCCTGCTTGAGCGAGTCTGACTGCCAGCTCATCAGAATTCTGCACAAAGCCAGGCTTGATGGTATTTGGGAGGCGTGGTTGTGAAGAGCTGATACAAAGAAGGAAGCTCACACACTGATGGGCACACACCGATCCTTAAAAGTCGCCTTTTTCTGGTGTATTTTCCCATCAGTGCAATCCCCACTTTCGCCAATCCGTCTCAACCCCGAGCCTCGAAATAAACAAAACAGGCACATTCCTACACACGGAGAAAGTCAACAGGGTACGAGTTTAATCCAAAAAAGGGGAAAACTTTGCCCCGAAAGTCTAAAAATACTTTGTTTCCAAACTTGAAGTTGCAATATTAGCTGCTCCACCACAAGAAGGCTCCTGTGTCCCCAGTTGTTGATTTTACACTTGGCACGGAAAGGATATACAAACGAGACAACTGAGCGAGCAACAATGCAGGGCAAAAAAGGTCAGGAAAGGAATTCCAGCCTTCACCAGTCCTCTTTAGGTTTCACACACAACATAAGGCGATGCTTTCTGCATGTTAGATGCTCTGTAAACGAAACTGCTTGCAAATGTCTTCCCTGACTCCTATAAGTGGATATTTTCTCTGAGAACAAAGCTGCTGTCTTGTGAAACATCCTCCAAATTGAATTTCAATCCGCTCTGCGGAGTCAAGGTAAAAATGAAGCCTTTCTTTTCTCACTTTTTTTTTCTCCTGGCAAAGCATTTGTCATTTCTGACTGCAGCATTTCAGTCCTGCTGCCAGTGTGAGAGTGTTACCGTGGCAGCAAGCAGCCAGACAATGGTGTTTTACAATAGGCCTTCTCAATGCTCTTCAAAGGGCCGCGTTCATTAGTCACAAAATGGATGCATGCTCCCTAACCCCCTTCCTCCTCCTCTTTCTCAGGCTAATAAGACTTATGGCCACTAATCCTTTACACACTTTCTGATTCAGAGGTACAGCTTGCTCTCATTTCCAAAGTAACTGGAGAACAAAAGTTGCACATTGACGCCTGTAAACGGGAGAATTTTCACAGTCATGAATACTGTGAAGTTACTGTGAAGTTACTGGGAGTCATTAAAATGCGCTGAGAATTTTGTTAAGTGGATTCCACAGCTGACTCACACACTTCCAAAGAGAGGCTGGTGTGTAGAAAAAGCGTGCCGCGAGCATGACTTGGCAGCACAGTTTCGGGAACTTTTCAGAAGGGAAGGAAAGGACTTTCCTGGGAAAGGAAGCTCGGCTTGTGATAAATACACTGGTGGTATGACAGCTCCACTTCCTCTTTTGATGCTTTAGTTTCATTTCTAAGGAGTGCTTCCCGAGTTAAGACACATTCTATTCAAGCACAAATATCTGGGCTACATGCTGAGCAACAGCAGAGATGATGTGTAGGGAAACAACACAGGCAATTCAAACATGATCATAAACTATAGTACAAAAAGTCTCAAATCAGTAAAAAGGCTACTGAAGTTTCACGTAAAAAGTGCTCACTTGGTTGATCAGGTGACTAAGATGCCAAAAGACGGTGTCAAAACAGCGTTATTAGTGTGCCCAAACATCCTGCCTGGAGAATTTCCACTATGTCATTCCACTTTGCTTTCTCTGCACTTTCCTGTGTGCTCTCTACTCCTCTATCAATTAAAGCCAACAAAAAGTCTATACTTGTTTGCAAGTCATACACCCACCCACCTGATTAAATCTACAGCGTTGATGTCAGACACAGGCCCTCCAAATCGAGCATTTCTCAATAAAAGAAATCAGTGCTTATCAAGACTTATTCATTCTAATTCAGATTTCTATTTATAGAAAATTACAGTTTTTTCTACTTCAGACACAAAGCTTTTAGATGCCAATCCAGAATCCCGGAATCTCCCTGAACTCCCGTTTCCCATTACCTGACTGATCAAAAGCCATTCACGCACAGTAGATAAGCAACTATAAAGGAACAACAAATAAAAGGAAAAAAGGCGACACACCTTTTAGTGGTGCATAATAAAAATAAAATAAAAGAAGTAAGATAGCTGCTTAAATTCCTATGTAGATCTTGCAGTTTAGTTACCTCGAGTGATCCTCTGGTTAACTGCTCCTCAGCACTGGCGTTTGCAGCATATTCTTTTCTGCACTCCTCAAACATAAGCCACTTTCATTTTCCGACCTTGTCTGCCAGAACATGTACCACTAATAGCAGGCTGATTCACTGCATCAGGACAAACCTACTCACCGGTCCTCTGGTTTAGCCGCCTACACAAGCAGCCCACTGCTACAGTACCACCTCAACACTTGTGAACATGCAAGGACATCTCCACTGATTTATTTCCTCAGAAGCATATGCACAGCTTCTGTGTGCAGGGACATGTATGACAGTAATCACAAACAGTAAATAAACAATATACAGTCTACTGAGACGCCAGATTGAGCAGAAATTGTATGAAATTTGAGACTATTTTATTTAAACACTGAAACTACGACTGGAATTACGTAAATCCCTTTATGGAGGATGTTAATTAGAGTTTGAGTATTTACAAATAATTAAGCTTAAATCCACACTTTAAAAATCTTGTTGTTTTCTCCCCCTCTGTATTTACATAATGATTATTGCAGCAGAGCACATCTGGTGCTCGTTTAAGGAGCATCCACATCCACACCTCCTCTGATTGTCTTTCCGCTTTTCGAGGGAGTGACAGGCATGCCTGTAAAGTCTCCAAGCGCATTCTGGAGTTAAAACGCAATTCAGTGTTTGTGTGGCCCCAGACTGACCGCGCACGTAACATTGGCATTTTTGACTAAAGCCACGCGTGACAACCCGCGATGTCCAAGTTACAGCCTTGAAACTGCAGCTGGACATTTTTGGCCAACTGTTTTGTTTTCCATCTCAGCCTTTCAGTCTCTCTGGCAGTGCGGTTTTTAAAGGGACAGCCTGTTACTACCTCCACACTGTCACTTTGTGAGCCTGCATTGCACACCGCTCCATTATTACGGACCTTTTGCGCTGCGATTTTTCCCACATACCAGGAAACATAACGGGACTTAGTCACCTCAGAGTGGCGAGAAAAACACGCAAGAAAGCACATTGATAACAGCATCTACCGTCACTTCACATATAAGCGCTCAAAACGGCGTCGCACTATTACAGATCACCTATCGGCTGAGTGTGATGCCTTACCTGCCTTTATTCCATTAATATAACTACACCTCAAAAATCGCGTCCTCGGCAGTGTCTCGTTTAGGGGGGCGCTTTGCAGTCATCCAGACTCTCATTACTGCGGAAAAAAGACGAGACGAGGACCTCTAAAATATCGGCACTGTGCGGCAGGTCAGTCCCTCATGGTATGCGATGGTCCCTTTCAAGTCACTACAGCCCCTCCGCTTCCACTCAGTTGAGAAACAGCGACGGTGACAAAACAGCGTCATTAGGGTGCCCACACATCCGCTTTGGACTTTCAGAATAAACTCAACAGCGAAGAAACCGCAAACGCCTGAAATGTGGTTACACTATAATAAAAAAGGATAAAATAATATCACGTAAATACATTTTTAATGAATGATAATAATAATAATAATAATAATAATAATAGTTTAAAAATATTGTTATTAAAATTGTTGTTGTATAATTAAAAACGACGTTTTTAAACCAAAGCCAGCACTTACAGCAACAATTGCCCTACCACTGTGACTTAAGTACAACAAACAAACAAAGAAACAAACAAAATTTAGTCTTGAGATGACTTAGGAGGCTTTTAGTTGACAGAAAATTACACACCAACAGAAAGAGAACTATCTCCATATCGTATGCCTGCAGTTTATGATCAGAATACGTGTATATACGGTTTTAAATGCTGTTAAAAATACTAATGTGGATGGGTAAAAGGCTCTAGATGTTTTAATTTTAAGCCAAAGCTACTCGATTTCCGGTCCCAACTGCGTGCAACTTGAGTCCTTTTTAGATGCTGAAGGCAGCCAGTGGTTTGAACCTCCTCCCACACTCACCCATCCCATCAGCAGGACCTCTGCCTCAGGCAGCCAGTTGCTTGAGGGAAAATAACTTCTCCGAATCAATCAGCGACTCCTTGCAGCACACAGCGCAGTGGCAGAGCACAATCCTATTATAGTCTGGAGTTAATGTGGTTATCTCACAACTGATGAAATAATAACCAGACTTCAGCAGGTCTAACTGCTCCCAGGAACCTTGTGTACAACACGTAGCAGTATTTCCAAGTCTGACTTAGAGGAAATTAGTCATCCTTCTTTGTTCTTTGGAAGGGGCCATTTTTTACACAATCTGGAATCATCTGAATCCACGACACAGAAATAACCCAAAGACACTTAGACATAATCTTTTCTCTAAGATTTTTTAGCTTCAGTGATTTTAGGGAAGTCTTTCAATAATTCCACTGCTTCACTGATAAAAAGCAGTTATCCTTAATGTCTTGGGGCCACTTAGCTTGCTAGAATTCCACTGCCTTACAAAAGGGTAGATATATGAAAACTTGTGATGCTTTAGACAGCAACGTTTCACCAGCACAAGAGTTTTTGTTATTGTGAAGGAGAATGAAAAAAATGAGAAATGAGCAGCATGAGTATCATGTGTCTGTATCTCTCCTAATGGAGACTATGCAGGATAGCTGCAATACACAGGGATGGTTTGGTCTAAACATAAGCCACTGAGCAAATAGTATGAACTCATAATGAGCAGATCACTAGCTGAGCTTGTTGAACAGGATCAAGAAACATCAGCAGGAATCAAATATCTGATCTTCAAAGTCAAATTCAGCATCATTGTCTCTCTTTCCTGTATTGTTGTACAGTACAACAACACAGGCTACACTGTATCCAGAGTACTGTAATGCACACTGGATACAGCTGAAGCTGATAAATGAAGAAAGGAGCAAGAGGAGGATGGATTACTATTCATGATGTGTGGAGGAGGGCGGGGCAGCTATAGAAAAGATGAAGAGTGGATAAGGTATTTGGTCCTTTGAACTGATGTCTGAGAGAGAGAGAGAGAGAGAGAGAGCACTGTACTTTTTAACCAGGCTGTTTAACACAATTTTGGAGCGAAGGAGGACACTAAGAGGAGAGGTGACAATCAGTGAAGCAAAAGTGTGTCTTCATAGCAAGAATGAGCACTACAGATGTGATGTTTGCTTTGAGGAGGTGCACACCTCCAACCTGGAGAGTTGGAGGTGTGCACAGGAGAAAAGAGGAATGAAAGTCAGTAGAAGCAAGACTAACTACATGTGTGTAAATAAGAGGGAGACAACTGTAACAGTGAGGCTGCAAAGAGTAGAGGTAGTGAAGGTCGAAGTAGTTTAAATATCTGGGATCAACCACCCAAAGCAATGGATGGTGCACGAGACAGGTGGAGAAGAGAGTGCAGGTAGGGTGGTGTTGAGTGTCAGGGGTGATTTGTGATGGAAGGACAGGAGGAAGAGTGAAAGGGAAGGTTAAAATGGTATGGACAAATGCAGAGGAGGGGTAGTGGATATACTGGATACACGATGCTGAATACGTAAAATTACTTGTTTCAGCAAGACAATTACAAACCACGTACTGGAGATACACTGTGACTCTAAAGGGTGTCTTGTGTAAAACTGGCCGGCCTGACCTGCCATGAACTGAAGACATTTGATGCATCATGATGTGGAAAATCCAACAACAGAGGCCATGAACTGCTGAGCACCTAAAATTTAAGCAAAAATGGGAAATCTTTTTGCTTACTAAACATCGAGACTTTTCCTCCTTGGCTTTGAGTATATCATGTGGTTACGCATTGCAACACTTTCCCCTGTCCCATTGTTACACGAAAATCATCATCATCATCATCATCATCATCATCATCATCATCATCATCATCATCATCATCATCATCATCATCATCATCACATTAAACACAAGCATATATTTTACAGATGATTATAAATGTCTCACATTCAGCATTTGATGTGTTGAGGTCCTTACAGGGTCTTAAACTTATTTATATTTAATTATCAGATCAATGTACTTAACAAAAAATAAGGAACTATTAGAGAAGTGTGTGGAAACTAAATCCACCCTTACTGCTATAATGTGCTACAGTGGGGATTAAGAGGGTAAGTTGTAGTCAGGTGCTAATCATCAGTAAGTGTGAGCATCTCACTTAAGTGGAAAACGTTCGAGACAGATGCCAAACGTCCAAAGCGTGGACGTCACAGTAAATTCACCCCAAGGTCAGACCGTGCAATGCTCAGAGAAACTGCAAAAACCCCCAAACTTACATCTCAGACTATACAATCCTCAGTTAGCATGTTAAAGGTTAAAGTTCATGACCGTACAATTAGAAAAAGGCTAGACATGTATGGCTTGATTGGAAAAGTTTCTTCTCTCTAAAAAGAGTAAGGCATGTGGCTCAGGTTTGCAAAGTTGCATCTGGACAAACCACAAGACTTCTGGAATGGTGCTTTGACAGGTGAGAACAACATGGAGATGTCTGGTCATAATGCACAGTGAAAAGCAAACACATAGATCGCCACAAACCCCTCTTACAAACTGTGAAGCACGGTGGGTGGTGGAGGGATGATGATTTGGGCTTGTTCTACAGCCACAGGACTTGGACACCTTGCAGTCACTGAGACGACCATGAAGTCCTCTGTCTACCAAAGTATTCTGGAGTCGAATATGTGAGGATCTGTTTGACAGCTAAACCTTGGCTCAAATTTATCATAAGGACACAGTAAATCTACAACAGAATATATATAAAAGAAAATAGTCAAGGTGTAGCAATGTCAAAGTGCAAATACATTCCTCGTGCCTGATTAAAATGCTGTAGTGGGACTTTAAGAGAGCTGAAGGAACTGAAGCAACCTTAAAAAGAAGAGCATGTGAAAATTCCTCCACAAGGATGTGAGAGATTGATAAAGTCACAGAGAAAATAATTGCTTACTAACAATAACAGGGTGTACCTATTTTTTCATATATTGCTTCTGCATTTTGGTTTATTTTTTGTCAGATAAATAATGTAATAAAGTCATGTGTTGTTGTTCTTCTAAGGTTGCACTTAAACAATTTTAAGACCCGGTAATAAACAGATTTTTATAAATTATGTCCTGATACGTAAAACCTTTGAAATATTGAAATTGAAATAGAGTGTACTTTATTTTTTTGCCATGACTGTATTAGTTTAAGATTTAGAAATCACTGCCTTGGGGTTAACTCTTTGAGAAACATTGTTGCACTAGTCCTGTTGGATAACTTTTTATACTTGGGCCACATCTTATGACTTCTTTTTCAGTCCTGTTTATCCTCAGTGTGCCTGAAGGACAAAAGAAGCTGTGCTTTGTAAAGACATTTTAAACTGAAAGAAGCCTGCATTTTTACACAATCTGAAGGGACAGAGTCATCACAATATTTCTAAACCGTTTGTAAGTAACAGGTGGCTTTTTCATCATCGAAAAACTTCCCCCACAAAAATTTAAGAAAAAGAAAGCTGTTTTTGTACATGTCAGGGGAAGTTCCCTACAGGAAGTGGTGCAGCCTCAGACCGCATCTTGGTTAACAGATATGTAAAACCTATGCCATTAGGCCACAGATGGATTTATATCCACTGGGAAAAAACCACATGTAGCACTGAGGTGTCTGTTTACATTTTGCATCGGAGACAAGATGGAGCAAGTTTAATGGGCTAAAATGACAGTTTAGTGGGCCACACAATGAATCTAAATGGAAATAAAGGTGGAGCCTGGGTCTTCAAATCGATATAAACACGGCTTTTGTAAACACATTTCTTGGTGGACTAAGCTTAATCAAACATAGGTAAACGTGTTAATATGTACTGTACTGTGTTGCCTGCTGTTACATAATTCGTCCACCAGAAGACGCTGTGGTCTCGTTGATCTTGATGGGCTTGGATAAGTTTCTTATCCAAATTTAAATGTCGAAACGATGTTATTAGGGCCCCTTGGGAAGGACGTGTGCGCGCAACATTAATGAAATCCAGTATTTTATTTAAACAAGGAGCCTACATGTGCCTTTTAATCCCCGAACATCATCATTAGCAATATCAAAAAATACAGTAAAATGAGGCTAATGTGAACAATATGCTGATAGAAAACAGGCACATAAGTATGGCACAAGAAGTCTCTTTTACTTAAACAAAATAAATAATTTAAAATGTTAAATACCGTTTATGTCTTATGGTTAAATACACAGTGGGCCTTTAATGCCAGGCAGTATATTGTTCTAAATAACTAATTTCACACCTGACAGCAAGATAAAAATAGCCATCTATGCAGTGAAGCTTTGGATGTGGGATTTGTCACGCATGAACAGCCCTTAAAGAGCCCACAGATGGGTCAAAGGATTTTAGAAGATTAATACTTGTGGAAAAAATTTATGGGATATAAAAATAATAAACGCTGCAGTAAAA